CGATTTTTTTCGTTCAATTCCTTCATCTTAATCCGGCACTTGAATTCCGCCTCCGGCAGTGACTTTTTGAAACGAATCGCTCAAACTGCACGTAGTTTGATTTCATAATCCGGCAGTCGTAAATCGCGTACCGTACAGGTGCACTCCTTGCCAGGCCAGGCTAGGCCAGTCTGGTCAATGTTGTCCAGGAGACAACGGCAGTCAACCATACTTTCTTATTTTAGCAAGGAGTAGTGTCCTGCCAATTTTCAGGTGTGTGTGTGTGTGTGTGTGCGTGTGTGTGCAAGAGTACATGTGAACATGTTCTCTGTTTTACTTTATCACTTTATCACTGTGTATATTCCCGGAGAACAATTGAGAATATATAGCCGTGCACCAAATACTTGGGTCGACACGAAAAAACCCTGCGTTTTGACGTACATATGATACATACATGCAATTGGGTAGGGCCGGGTCAGAGGGCAGGATTTCTTAATCCAGCACCCTCGTTAATCCAGCAGAAAACGCCGTAGCAAAAGGTGCCGGATTAGAGAGGGACGACTGTACTTGATAATTTCTTAGCGCATGAAAATCGGAGTCAGTACCACAATATTCCTCCCTCACTATAATGAGTCTAGATACTTTGAATGTGGAACAGGGTCCAGGACAGGATCGTCTGCTCTATCCAAATTATGGCCTGGTTGCAATTTGTCTATTTACCAGCAGGTACATCGCGCCAGGGAGTCATGGCACCTACACTGTAGGGAGACTACACAATACTTTATAGAATTTTGGGTCAGGATTTGGAGGTTCTCCGTGATCTGTGCAATCACGGCCTTGACCTACTGACCCTGAGAACGGCCCAGATTAGCAATGCCATGTACGAGCGTGTATAGATCTGCCCAATGGTGCCCCAGGGGTGGCTGAAACAGGAACCCCTGGGTCGAACCCCATGTCATTTAGCTTTACAGTCGCCTGTGCCATCTACCTAGATGCTACAACTCCCTGCGTTGCACCCAGTAAATGCAGCACATCAAGTATACAGCCATGTAGTGTTGGTTGTCACCTGTTCTGATCGTGTGATATCACAAACAATCTTCTACGGTCCATTCATTCGACCCTGGCACGTTAGGGGCCATCCATAATTATCTATCTTTAACAAGAAACGAGAAAAAAAATCGTTCATGGGCGGGTGGGTCAAGAAGGGTTTCGTAATGAAAAATATTGATAGCTGAAACACTAGTCCATTCCAGCTATTTTTCGTTGAGGGGTGAGTAGGTGGGGGTGGGGGACGGTCACAAGTTACTCATCACTAAACTTTTCATTTCGTGAAAATTATCGATAATGCCGGGTCCATAATTGTCGATCTTTTACACGAAGAGAAAAAGTTTCGTTGGTGGGTGGGTCAAGGGGAGTTTCATTTCGAAAAATACTGATATTACAGACATCAATCGGGGGGGGAGGGGGGGGGGGTGGTGGGTGGGTGGGTGGAGGAGGGTCCTTCTTTCATTTCGTGAAAATTATCGATAAAGCTGGATAGCTTTAGTCTATGCAATAAAATAGTTGTTTTCTTCACACAGACCGTAAAGTTTAAACAATATCCGGCCAGGTTTGTACCGAACATTTTTTCGAAAGGTAATTTCTCAAATGTTGCCTTGAGTACGTTCTCAGCAACATAGCGGGCCAGTTTCAAATAATTGGACTGCAAACTTGCATCGCTGGTTGTTCCAGCTCCATCACAGGTCGTATCACGGGAAATTGAGTCCAGCTCCACTTCAAGGTTGGGTGACACGTGATGGGCATCACTTCCTGCATGCTGGTGCATGTGACTCAAGAGCTCTGGCTGGCAAGTAGTTTTAGACTGCAGGTGCAATACAAGATTTTTCTGCGATGTGCTATGCATTGTGCATTGCATTTCTCGAGAGACACTTCACGCTATGTGAAAAAAAAGAATTTCGCTCAATGTGGTATTGTGCATCGTGCAGTGCAACTTTCCCACAAAACTGGACTCAAAGCACCTTATAGCTGTGGTTCACAGCAAAGATTTTCCTATTTGCGACTCTTGGTTTAATGGCTGCAGTAGCATGCATGTGCCTGGTGATATTGTTGCAATGGATCATAGTGAGGGCGTAGCAGTACTTGTGCACTGATAGTTGGTCATGGCATGAGTACATAACCAAGAGTGGGCAACTCGATGATCCCTCTGCCCACGGCAGAAAGTTTCATCACTTCGGCTTTTGTAGGCCATTGGGCTCACTAATACCATCATGCATAGCCAGAGATCAAAACTTGTACATCACAGCTACGGTAGTTGAAGCAGAACAATGAACTGTGGATCCATGCCTACTGAACCTGATGAAACACTCTATCTACATGGCACATGTAGAAATATATGCGCGCTTGCTCATAATCATTGGATTTCGAAGCCGATCGTACCTTATGTTAGTAGTTGCACATTCTTAGCAGTTATGTAGTTTGATAATAACGTTACGATAGATTATCAATACTGGTGGAAACGTTATGCTGGTTGCATATTTTGTACCCGGTGTGCCATGACCAGGCATGCTAATTCATCGGATATTATCAAGTTTGCCTGCCTGCTGGGTGTTGTATCTCAGCTTCACTGTACTACAAATACGATAGGCATAGTTTTCCTAAATTGCTTCTTTATAACATTCAGTTTGTTTTGCTGCAATCTTTTCACGTGTTTTGCAGGATTGTAGCCAAGGGTGAATACCATTATGATGAGCGAAGGTCTCTGAGAACTCATGTCTGAAGGCTGGTCATGTTGGCCCAACGATGACTTTCATTGCCTGTTTCCACCACCTTCATACTGGAATGAACTGGAACATGTTCCCTCTCTGTTTCTCATGTGGAAGGACGGAACAGATTGTTTGTCTGTCTCTGTGGATCACCGAAGGCTGAACAGTACAGTTGGAAGAATATTGGATCTCACGAAGTGACTGAATCTGAAGCGGCTGACATGCATCTGCACAGCGCTTTCTTTCTGAGATTTGCTTCAAGGCAGGTTATTGTGTACGATTTTGTCCACAGTATTCCTATATTAGCCAAACGTATTTCTCTGATAGTATTGTGACTACACACGCACAATGATCTCTCTGTCATCAGTCTTTCGAAATGATGTGGCTCGCTGATGACAGCATGCATAGCCATAGATCAAATGAGCAGCTAAGGTAGTTGAAGCAGAAGAATGGATCAATGCATCCTGAACCTGGTGTACTGCCTATATGCACTCTCAGTAGTATTTGTAACGTGTTAACTATGAAGTATCAACATTGCTTCTCTTCTATGTGGGTGGTGTGAGTGATGTCAGATGGTCTGTACTGCCATGGCCGATGGTGTTCACGGGAAGATGTTGGGTTGGGCCATTGTGCCCTCTTGCAATATGCTGTTGCAGCCTGAAGGCAATGAAAAAGTTCGAATGCTGATCTGCTTTCAAGCGTAGAATGTTACATTATGTGCATTACATATTTGCATAATTATGTTTTGTACTGGAGTGTGAATGTGCGGCAAGGGCATGCACATGTAAGTATATCGCACTGCAAACAGCCTAAGAGTTCACGTGGTATGTGATAAGTACACTTTTGGAAAGTGCGTGCACAGTCGAATCATGTAATGTTAAAACAGCCTTCGTGCTCCTCCCTGAATGGCTGCACAAGTAGAAATCTCCGTCTTCCTTTGCTTCTTTTTGCTTGAGCTGGCATGGTGGTCGTAGAGTTGGAAATTGTTAAGTATGATAACAATCGTTGTTTGGTCTGGAGACAAGAATGCATTTGGATATTTGTCCCAGGACTGCATGGCTTCCCAAACTGCATGTTGAATGCCATAGATGATTATTGTTCGGTTCAAGAAAGGACTCGTGGGTCTGTCTGGCTATTGTGAGCTCTCGCTAGTCCATTTCCATAGCACTTGCTCTGGATTCACTCGCTGGAATATTCTCCAGTATAGAACAAGAAGTTTAGAAAACCTACTGGTGATATTAGTATGTTATAGTTACTAGTTTCTCCGCACTGTACCGCAGCTTTTGTTATCACACACATGCGGGTTATATACAGTAGTTTATCTACAATCCAGCATGATGTTCTTCCAAGAACGCCCCCGACCTAGGCCCTCGGAACGACGTTCTTGGGTGTGCAACATCACTTATAGTTCTAAATCTTAGAATTAAGCGCAGGATTTTAGTGATCACGGTTCCAAATGCATGTCATTGCACTCCGCCTTTGGGACTTATTAAACATGTCATTGCACTCCACCTTTGGGATTAATTTTAAGAGCTGCATGCATGCCAAAGCTTGTCATAAAAGAAGAGAAAACTTAAATAGGCATCTTGTACGCATGATTTCTAACATGTAACATCCCTGCCGAAGAGTGTTCTTCCATACTACAGTAGAGTCGAGCGTCCAAGAACGTTGTGTCCAAGAGGTTAGCCTTGGGTGTTCGTATTTTTCAGCCATCCGGCTGCGCTCTTGTAGCATGTTCTTAGAAACAATCATGTTAGGATCATATTATTATGTATCCCGAAAGCTGCCGGAAAACCAACACCGCCATTCTTTTAAACTTAAGGCGGTGGCGTTCTTAGCATTTCAGGCTGGACATTCTTGGGCAACACGTTCTTCGGCGCCCGACTCTACTGTAGTACTGTACATGAAATACAGCTACTACAACTGTAGTAATATAGAATGCCGATTATCCGAATGATTGATTGTCCGAACTGCTCAGGCTGCATGGCAGCAGGCTGTCATCAACATGCATCCCATGATAATTTCGAGGAGCTGGAGTGTGTGCCAAAAAGAATGAGAAATGAAAGTATGCATGAGGAAATGAGTATGTTTTAGATGAGTGTTTTCCCACGCCCTTATCCGAACATACATGCACTCGATCGCCATAACCCCTGGCACACAGCACACAGCTTCAGAACCTGAGAGAGTATGATATGGGTATGTCACAAGTACTCCCAGGTCCCGAAGCTTTCGTCTCAACAAAGGATCATAATCGACGACTTGTAATGAACTACATTTTGGTGGTATTATACTGTACTTGTTTACATTCAATTTAGGAATGAGTTTAAAGCATGAGAACTATCCACAGCAGACATTCTCACTGTTCGGAGTTGCCAAAAACGTGGTGCATGTACAAATCAGGGATGGGTACAATACCAACATCTGAGGTGAGTCTATCAGGAAAGTGAATGTCGTCCACTCTATAAAATGGGGTCCCTCAAGAAAGATGCGATTTTGCAGGCATGGACGTTTCCAGCCAGGTGACTGTATATACAGTGATTTAAGTTATGCAAAGCTTGACATGAATGATTGGCTGGACACGTCAAAGAGAAGGAAGAGAGAAGCAGACCAACCTTACACCAGCTGAGTGTAGTGGCCCAAAACAACAAACTAATTCTGTGTGGCCTTAGAGGAGCTGGGCAAGATGTGTACAGTGAATTAAACAATACAGTAAAAGTGGGAGAAGAAGTGACAAGACTGAGTATGATACACTGTGCCAGCACAGTGCACATACTAGTGCAACTGTTGGTGTAATTGCAGTTGGCCCACACGAGCAGGTCACTCGATTGTAGATACACAGAGCGCATTCTACATCATACAAAACATGTTGAGCTAGGCAGCAGTGGGTGGCATTTACCGACATACACCAATGCCAATGCGCGGCTTGAGCAAATATTACAAGCCTCGGAACACCCATACGCCATTTTAGAGACAGAACAAGGCGATGAGTAAGTGTAATAGGTAGCCGAGTGGTAGGCGCGGTGAAATCAACAATAATTACTTTTATTCTACTTTCAGGTACACACCTGAGATATAATCGTTAGTGAAAGAAGAAGCGGCAAAATAAATGACTTTCTCTCCGGTGCTCACCTAGAGGCTGAATCCTTATTCTTCGAGTTAGCTTTCATTGCTATCCAATCTAATCTAATCTTCATCAAAACAGAAATGCGCAGCCGCTTTTATGCAGCAGACGACGTACGCTTACATACGGAGATACACTAAATATACATCAGGCAAGCTCCGTATTAGTTCCGTACTGCTTCCGTATTGGTCGGGCAGGGATACTACACCCTCCCTTCCTACAGATTATCACGCCCTCGTGGTTTTCAAAAAATTAGTGAAGAGTTACGAACACAGCGTCAACCGGAAGATGGCAAATTATATCGGAAATGATAACGTTTAGAGTAGACAGAAGAAATGAACTGATAACAAATCATAAAGTAGAAGCACACCAGGTTCACACGATCTCACGGGGTCAAAAGGGGAAAGAACTGTTCTCCAAATAGGACCTGAAAATCCACAGCACTCTTGCTGCACAACGCTGGCACAACCCGCCAGGAACATCGCAGTTCAAAAACCAAACTGAATACACTATAACTATAAGGGGCGTTGTCACACACATTGTCCCAGGTTAGCTGGGTAAGCCGTGGCTCACCATGATCAGACGCCTACCAAACTAAACTGGATTCACACACTCGCATAAAGGAAGACTGAAGAGAACAGGGAGACTGAAGGAAGACAGGAAAGAAAATGCCATACCTGGAATCAGCGTTAGTAACCACGGCGGCGGCTGGAGCTATGGCGGAGGGCGAGCCAGGTTTTATCTTCATCTTGGTTGAGCCGGTGACTCAGAGCGGCTAGCTCGGCGTCAGACAAATAACATCCCTCCTCGTCTTGAATCGTGGTCTTCACGTTGTCGACAGCATCGCTTGGCGCGACATAAAGAGTGATGGTCTAGCCAGGAAGAGTGTTGACGACAATATGCATCCCACCACGGAGGCGAAGTACCAAATAAAGAGTGGACTCCTTCTGAACGTTATTGTGGTCACTCAGGGTTCGGCCGTCTGCCAACTGCGTGCCGGCGAAAATCAAACGCTGCTGGTCTTGGGGAATACCCTCCTTGTCTTGGGCAGCAGCCTGCCTGTTGTCGTCCTCATCAGCTTCGCCATCACCACCAGTAGTTAACATGTAGGTAGCGGGTCGCTTGGAATCGCCATCGGAGTCTCAAGTGGATGCCATGCGGAGGGAAGGGTGATCCACGCTAGCACCCTGACTGTGCTGCAAGCTAATAAGTAGGGCCAAGCCCAGGACGGCAAGAAACATGATTCTCATCTTGATTCGTCGCAGGGAGCTGCAGCGGGTTGAGCCATGGGGGTCTGGAGTCGAATCACGTTGTTTTATTTAAAACTACACCGCTGCCACCAATGTAATAGGTAGCCGAGTGGTAGGCGCGGTGAAATCAACAATAATTACTTTTATTCTACTTTCAGGTACACACCTGAGATATAATCGTTAGTGAAAGAAGAAGCGGCAAAATAAATGACTTTCTCTCCGGTGCTCACCTAGAGGCTGAATCCTTATTCTTCGAGTTAGCTTTCATTGCTATCCAATCTAATCTAATCTTCATCAAAACAGAAATGCGCAGCCGCTTTTATGCAGCAGACGACGTACGCTTACATACGGAGATACACTAAATATACATCAGGCAAGCTCCGTATTAGTTCCGTACTGCTTCCGTATTGGTCGGGCAGGGATACTACATAAGCACCAAAGGATTATATGAATAGCGGCCAGGCAATAATTCAGGCCACTGCTGCTAATCAAGGACTAGTTACTAGTACTAGTATGTTGTCAGTGTACCCTGAAACGATGCAATCACAGCGAACGTGATACATGCACATCATGTTGCCTGGTTCTTGGTTAAAGGTTGTATCCTCAATGCTTGAGGTTTGTGGGGTCCCTCCAGCTTCTCAGAGTCCTGCACAAAAAGAGATAAAAGCAAGTGCAGGTAGAATAACAGTAAGCTCACATAAAACCTCTTCGTCTTGCTAACAAATTTCGTGATTAAATCCACAGCATGGGAACGAGGCTACAGGAAAAAAAAGTTCAACATAATAATGCAAAAAGGCAACTTTAGCTAATCATATTTTTGGCAGCAACACTATACTGTTTGTATAGGAGAGTTGGCTTGGTGCATTCATGGCAAATGCACTCCCTATAGTATTGTATTACTGTACTTCATCATTTTACTTGGGCATTCATTCCCAGTAGCCCTAATGTCTTCTAACAGAGTGCGCAAGGTACTGCATATTCGGCGCATATTTTATTTTCGGCTATTAACGGCCTGTGCATTTTTAATTCGGAAAGTGGTGGACATCACGCAACTAAATTGTAAATAAAAGGAGGTTTGTCAACTGACAACCGCATACTTTTTCGACATCACTAATAAAAGAATTTTTCGTCCAGCGCATGCGCCAGGAGTGAATAGCAACTGAATAGAGCGGTTGTCATTTGACAACCCCCTTTTATTTACTAGAGGAAACGCAAAAGGTAACAAGATTACGTAACCCAAGGTGAGAAGGCACTGAACGAACTGTCAACCTACGAATACAACCTCAGTGTAACAACATGCTCTTTCTGCTTACACAAGCAGAAAGAGAAAGAGCACGTTGTTGCACTGAGGTTGTATTCGTAGGTTGACGCTTCGTTCAGTGCCTTCTCCCCTTTTATTTACTGGGCATTTGTAGCCTAAAATTCGTTTTGCAAGGTTCAACGTGACAGTGCATACAGGCATCAGCAGTACAGGCTGAAATTTCAATGTGGCCGAGATGTGTTTTTGCCCTGGGGAGGCTGCAATTTAAAGGGGCACTCCGGCTTCATTTTCGACGCCGAGTTTTCGATGCCAAGACGAAGGTAGGTGAAAGAGAAGACCCCTCGAACAAGAACGAGTCTCCAGAAGCGATCGAGTCGAGCAGGAAGACGACTTTTGAATTTAGGCCGAGCGAGCGCTGATGACGTAATGAGGGATTAGCTTGCCAGTGGAAATGCATCTGCGCACATACATTTCACACACTTTTTGGCCAATTTTCAATCGAAGAGGAGGTTGTTTGCTATGTTCTCCCAACGCCGTGAGCGATCCCGTCTTCTATACCCTTCCAGGTACCCTGAAGGTCCTCCAGAGGAGAATTTATCTCCATCAAAGCGTTGTTGATCCGCTAAATTCGTCTCGAGACATATTCACCCAGTGCAGTGCTGATAAATGTAGAATGTTGAATCTGTGATAATTGTCGACGATGGAGAGAGAGGTTGATAGCCGCTGTCGCAGGGAAAGTGAAGCTGCTGGAAGTAACAACTGGGAGCTTGTTAGCATAACTTGATCAAAGCAGCTTGACGGAATCGGGGAGTACTGACTATTTGTCTCGCCCTCAGTTTAGTGAATTTTATGACCAGAAAATTATTCGATCAGGATCCCTTCTACAAGATGTGTAGTACAGGTGATTTCTGAACTTGACGATATGGAGACCGACCAGTAGACCTACCAACAACGTGTACCTGCAGGAAATTCAGCCAAGGCTATTGCTAATGCTATCCTCTTCAGTGGCTGTTGTTTTTTTAGTAAAAATATGTTCACTTCTCTCAACATACTCCTGCATGGCAGCAAGAAGATGCGCTATGGAATTCAACACCACAATATTCGCCTAGCTGTGGATGAAGCATGGTCAAGTCATGGCAGTACATATACTTGAACCAGATGAGAAATTGAAGTTCATTTGTGATGCGAAGTTTGACAGCCCCAGTGACGGAGTCAAGCGTTGTCTTTTGCCGTGGCACAAATTGCTGAAGAATCCGAGATGGTCTTGGAATTATGCACATGGATACTACCAGAAATAATGGTGGCATGAACCATTGTGGAATGGGACAGCTCACGGAGAATACTGGAATAGCTCAAGTATCTCTAGGTGATTGTAAATCCTGTTCTGGCTTATAGCTTCGGCCTGCTGCGCCCGTCCATGTACAATGATGGGAAGATGCATTTCTGTTTTCTACATATGACCAGCGCTTTGGCCGAGCGGTTGTGGGCTTGCCTGCGAATCACAAGGTCCCAAGTTCGAGACCCGCGCTGGGAGCAGGGAGCGTGTGCTGTGCTAGCAAATGCGGTAATGCACGCATGAACCACTTTACATGCAGTGAACTGCGCCGATACCCACAGTCAACTGGGTACTCACTACTCGGAGTGAGGGCAACATGGATGCAGCTAACAAGGTTAGCCCCCTTGTCATGCATTGTTTGTGAGACTTACCACCTCACCCTCGCCATTAGGCGCTGCATCTGCCACCCTGGCATCATAGGCATGGTGGTGGCCTGGCACATTCGAAACTTCCGCTGGTTGTGTTTCTCAACAAACTTTACTTTTTTTTTACTTTACATATTTGCCATCTACTGTACTGTGGTATTACAGTTGCAGGTCCCTTATATAGAAATATGTTCAACCCCCCTCCCACATACCCACATAAATATGAACTAACAATTTCACTGTTGGACTCGCCGGCGGCTAGAGAGCAAAGGATTAATTTATAGCAAAGAAAAGGACCAGGGAACTACAAGTTACGCTATAATGTCCACGAACAATTTCACTGTATTTGAAATAATTTTGTTTGATACCCTGAGAACTCTGAAACTTTGCAGCATTGTGGATTATATGTGGATACAACATTTATGGAAAGAACACATTGTTCAAATAATTATAGCACTGAATTGTTGAGATTGTGAGCACATTCCAATCAGTACTCTACATATTTATAAGCGGTGGCAATCGTTAGGAATAGGTCGTGAGTTGTCAGAGTGCTCTAGTATATGAGAGAATGTTTTGTTTGTCTAATCGACGGCTCGTTTGAAGCCAGAGTTGTTTGAACTTGTTTCAGTCGACTTGATTCTAGACAGTAGTCGAAGGAGTACTATGAAGTATACACCAGGCGTAGTCCGTAAGGTATCTCGTGAGAATTCTGTCGGTACACATCAGGTATCAGCTTGCAAAGATGGCTCCTCTCTGTTTCTTGAAAGCCTGTATAGTTGGACTGTGGCTCCAGCGATTCCCTTCTCAGAGCAGGTACCATACCCAATACGGTCAATGCATATTGGACAGACCTGTGTGCACAACAGAAATAGTGGAGAGAAATCTCTCAGCTCATGAACACATCAGTGAAGTTTGAACTGCCGTTGTTTGTGGCCATCAGTATAAACCTATCGACTATAAGAATAATGTGCAAACACCCCTCTATAACTACAGCTGGGGCCATGGAATTAGAAAGCATCTAACTTAGGGAACTGCCAATTCTGGTCGGAGTTGCGTTCAAGGCCTGCAATTCATGATGGCTATCGCATGTTGCATTGACCAGAGATCATATAAAACTTCCATGCCACATTGAAACACGCACTACTTTCGAGTACTTTGGTATCCCCCACCAAATGAGCATTCGGTCCCAGGGTGGCAGACATCACCATTCGTTATACCTGGATCAGATTAGATTGACCCCAACTGTCATGAAGAATCATTTTTACTTTGACTGGATTTCAGTACAAGTTGTAGAACTGCAGAATAAATTTTGTTGTATTTGGGCAACCATTTCTCTACAAACGCTCTATTTGGAAAATATAATTTTTTTATAAAATACATGTCCAAATTCCACATCTACCCAAATCGGAATACTTGATCACGTATTCAGTCCTACACGGAATGTTTAGAAAACGCCAGGGGATAGGAATTTGCTAACGAGAACTCCAGGCCAGGGTACTAGCATACGAACAAAACAAGATAAAAACTCACCAGTATACATGTACTTGTAGTAATTCATGTCGGTGTAATATTCACGATAAGCAACGAGGCACCCTCCGATTTGGTCAAACTGCTTTGAAGTCTGGTTGTTCAGGTGATACAAACGGGCTCCCCGTTGTTACTTCCAGCAGCTTCACTCTCCCTGCGACAGCCGCTATCAGCCTCTCTCTCCATCGTCGACAATTATCACAGATTCAACATTCTACATTTATCAGCACTGCACTGGGTGAATGTGTCTCGAGACGAATTTAGCGGATCAACAACGCTTTGCTGGAGATAAATTCTCCTCTGGAGGACCTTCAGGGTACCTGGAAGGGTATAGAAGACGGGATCGCTCACGGCGTTGGGAGAACATAGCAAACAACCTCCTCTTCGATTGAAAATTGGCCAAAAAGTGTGTGAAATGTATGTGCGCAGATGCATTTCCACTGGCAAGCTAATCCCTCATTACGTCATCAGCGCTCGCTCGGCCTAAATTCAAAAGTCGTCTTCCTGCTCGACTCGATCGCTTCTGGAGACTCGTTCTTGTTCGAGGGGTCTTCTCTTTCACCTACCTTCGTCTTGGCATCGAAAACTCGGCGTCGAAAATGAAGCCGGAGTGCCCCTTTAAAAGCGTCGGAAATTTGCATACTTTACAACACAGTACTGAGCATGCGGTGAGCTGATCACGAAATGAATTGGACGTACTAATAATGCTAAGGGATTCGGGGGCGCATCAAAGGGGTCAGCACCAAGGAATGGGATAGATTTGTGCCCAGTTCGGGTATGTATATTGGGTATAGAACGGAAATTATTGGCTAAGCCTCGGGCGACTCCTACCAGTATTGCCACCAATGGCCCATGGCTGCTGATCTCTGTGATAGAAATGAGACGTGTATGTGAAACCAAAATACGGCTTTTCAAGATGTACTATAAGACATGTTATTATAACGAGTCGCACATTTAACGATTGTCCAAAATTCATAGGTTAACGAGAAGATATGTTAACAATCTTGCAGTATTCTGCCATATACACACACAGCATATATGAAGCAGTACGGCCTCAATGGATCTATTATAACGAAGAAATGTCATCCGTTAAAACGTTAGATTTGCTTCCTCGTTATATATACATGTCTTACAGTATGTGCATTTTGTGAAGATCTGATCTAAGGGACACCTTGTTGGGTCTTGCCAACATTCAATTATTATGATGTTCATATCTATGCATGAATTATAAGCAAGAATCAATAACCCCAAGAGTATGCAGCTTTGCACATGGAGTCTGTCACAACACGTTGACCAAAGTACATGAACCTAGACACGAGCTAGGGAATCAGCTGAGCTGCTGCGTCATTTATGATCTGCTATAGTTTCCAGTCTCCATGGAGATTTTTCTTGGAGACGTCGAATCTACAGTATTAGGTGTGGAACTATTGTACTAAACCGCAGGAGATAGAATCTATTCAGCTCGGACAACATTTCACTACGTACGGAAGGAAGTACGCCGATCAAAGCTTGCTACACTCCCGTTTAGTCAACTTAACGGCCCAAATAATGCTTGGGTCATGAACTCATCGCTGTTGGTCTTTCGAGGGTGCCTGACAATGGTTGTTAATGCACAGTACCAGCCGGGCCAAATGACAAGATCAGAGATATAGATCTTCCTAGTTCAATTGCTGAAACGTGACTTGTGCAAACGTTACGTAGCAAAAGGAACTGTACTATGGCACTACACTCCATTCACAATAATCAAAAATGCCCACTTGACAAAACAGAATTTCATCAACGGAGCCCCGGGATTTTTTCTTCTGTACATAATAGGGAGGTTTAGTTCCCACGTAACGGAAACGCGTACGTGGGTGATCCACGTAAAGTGGATGAAGGGCACCCACGTTGCAATGTTGTGTTTAGTCACACGGAACAAACAAAAGCATGAAGCGAAAGGCCAAAACCTGGTCAAAGACGAAGCTACCCCGGCCTAAGAAGCTCATCCAATATTTTGATTTCGTGCTTCGGAAACTTATTCAGCTGAGCACCCTCACAGCTCGCACAATGCGCTCCATTCTGATTTTCACCCACGTAAAACGTGGCGGAACGTGGGTGAGCCTCCATACACGGTATGTCGTGAATCAGAAAACGTCTGTACGTGGGTCACTGAGTATCACGTGGTGCACCCACGTAAAGTACCCACGGATTACGTGGGACTAAACCTCCCTAATATCAAGAGTACATAACCCCCCCCCCCCCCAGAGTGTGCAACGCCTGATCCAGCTCTGTATACAGGTATAGGGTCTTGGTCGAGCGGAATCGGATCTTTGCGTCATAATACCGTACACATCTGAGGGGAACCCGGGGAGTCGCGGGTACTCTTGGATCAAAAACAATGGTGCCCTGCCTCGAGACCGGCCTTGAGCTGGTGTGGAGTGTACGCATGACATCAGAAGATCCGATTCCGCTCGACCAAGACCCTATCCAGAGCTGGATCGGCGTTGCACACTCTGGGGGGTTATGTACTCTTGATAATATGCATTATGGAGTCATAGCATAAATAATAATAAGGGAGACGGCACGGTAGACTTTCAGCCTAAATCATAACGAGGGCCAGCTGGGCAGCTCAAAAGAGAGCTCTATGCACTATTGGCAGAGTGGTATACATGAATAGAGAGTGACCACCCAGTGCGTGAAGCTTTTCGTGTCACCCTAGAAAATGTCAAAAATTAATAATGTGGGTTCAACCCCGGGATGCCAGTGACAGTTGCCCTTACTGCCTTAGGGGCAAGTGCGATACATACATGCTCGCATATAGCATCGCTTGACTGACCCATGCTTGGGGCCAGTGGGTCAAGTCCGCGATCACGAGTTGCATAAACCACGGATCATGTAGAATCTCCATGGATCCAATCTGTGTACTGTAAAAGCAGACATTTTTGATGGTGTAATATTTTCAGAATTCTCCAAAATCGGTGGTTCGGCGGAGGGAAATTTTCGGTAATACCCGCTTTCCAGGTAAGGGTGCTAGCACTACTAAGTAGTACCGAAAAATTTCGGTGCATTTTTTCGGTAAAAATTGTCGGCACCGAAGTTACCGAAAATAAAACACCACTGAAAATTTCCGCTTTTACAGTACATCATTTTGGGTATCATGATCTCGTGTTGTTTCCTTGGGTGCTACGACTCCCTGACATGCATTGATCCATGGCACGGTATGATTTGGGCGATTTCAGCCAATCAGTAGACGTTCTGAGAGGGGTATATTCAACGATACACCCCGCTCAGTTCACATGGGTCGCGCCAAGAGTGAATATTGGAAGGAGTCTTGGGAAAGTGCCCTGGGAGAAATGGATTGCACCATTCTATACATGTACTGCATTCCCCATAATTTCCTCGTGCTATATCCTCGGGAAAATATTTAACGTATACCCTTCACATACTCATAGAATAATCCAAACGTATCTGCAGTCAACCACGGGTATAACAACCCACGGATAGTGAGACTATCTTCAGACCTAGTAACAATATAGCCGTATATTTTCAACCCCGTGAATGACGCCAACTCCCAAATAGCAACACTTTTCTCATGCCCGATCAAGGGTCGTTCGTTACTGGCAAAGTTAGCTGGACATCTTGTCATGTAGTCATTATTACTTCAAGCAGGGACAATGAAATACACCCCGCCCCCTTTCCTGCAGAGGGAACAGTGCTGTGTCCAGGTCCGCATGCAGCATGGAGGTGCTAGTAAGTCACTGGCATATTTTCTCTTGTGGATCGATGTACAGTGCGTGACAATGCTTCCATAGTGGTGGTGGTGGTGGTGGTGGTGGTGGTGGCGGGAGCATACTGCACTGCAGGGCATTTCCACACTGGCGTACTATTATTTTCTCTTGCAGACGTGCCGTGCACGACAATGCTTCTATAGTGATGGTAGTGTGGTAGTGTGGTGGTGGTGGTGGTGGTGGTGGTGGTGGTGTGGTGGTGGTGGTGGTGGTCACAGTGGTGGTGGTGGTGGTGGTCACAGTGGTGGTGGTGGTGGTGGTGGTGGTGCTGCTGCTGCTGCTGGTAGTGGTGGCGGCGGTGGTAGTTGCGGTGGTGGGAGCATTCTGCACTGCAGGGCATTAAAGCAAGCTCGATTGTGCATGCATGGTGGCGGTGGGAAAGAGGAGCCAAGGAAAGTGTGTACATATTTTTTGTTGAAAGCACGAGAATTCAAAGAAAGCTGGCTGCTTCCTCTATTTCCATGATCGGCCAGTGCCTGCAGCACGAACAGTACATTGTAATACATGTATGTGCATAGACAGACAAATAAACACTAACCTGAGCATGGGTACCGCTTGTATTCGTGGTCAGGAAAGTGAAAGTACGAACGAAGGAGAAGAAGATTGTTGACCATGGCGAACAACTGCATATCCAGAGGGCACACGGCTTGCCAGAATGGGTCGGCTACATCTTCGCTAATTTTCTATCCTAACAACATTCAGCTTCGAGGTCAAGGACGACGGCATTTTTGGAAGGAAATTTCGAATTTTGGAGAAGAAGCTTGCTTTCGGAAAAATGTTCCTTTCACGCAAGGCAGCATGCCAGGTCAGGCGTGTGAACCAGGTGAACTGTGTCAGCAGATCGACGTTTACGTTCCAGGCCGACAGTTTTTTGACCAAGCCGTGAATCGCCCTCGCTCTGACTCGCCCGGCTACGAAGGAGTAATTTTACAACTCTTCAGGCCAGCTACAGGTCTCTGATGCAGAGCTGCAAGTGACGGATATCGGTCATTTGCAGCCACTACTTTGGCCTCCTGGTCGTTGCAATCTGATACATTAATAGGGACCTGTCCTTTCGCATTTGCTACGAAACGAATGCGAAACGAAAGTTTGATTCGGCTCGTAATCGTTTCGTTGAAAACAGATTTCAGGTTTCGCAAGTCGTCATGCAAATGTGCATGGCAACTACGAATACGGCCGCGGGCGCCGGTAGCTTGGCGTACGGGTTTTTTACACGCACACGTGCATGGATCATGGAATCAAGGGAAAAATGTGTACCTTGCAAAACATGTGTACCTACCCAAATAAATGTGTACCTGACGGATTCGGAGCGTGCCACGAATGAAGAGGCTTCCATTCGTGAAAACGAGTTCTCCGCAGGGACTCTGACGAATCCTCGAACCCAGGTGACGAATCAGCATTCGTTTCGTATCCGTACGCGGGGTGCGAAAGGTCCCTAATAGGGACCTTTCGCATTTTCTACGAAACGAATGCGAAACGAAAGTTTGATTCGGCTCGTAATCGTTTCGTTGAAAACAGATTTCAGGTTTCGCAAGTCGTCATTCAAATGTGCATGGCAACTACGAATACGGCCGCGGGCGCCGGTAGCTTGGCGTACGGGTTTTTACACGCACACGTGCATGGATCATGGAATCAAGGGAAAAATGTGTACCTTTCAAAACATGTGTACCTATCCAAATAAATGTGTACCTGACAGATTCGGAGCGTGCCACGAATGAAGAGGCCTCCATTCGTGAAAACGAGTTCTCCGCAGGGACTCTGACGAATCCTCGAACCCAGGTGACGAATCAGCATTCGTTTCCGTCCGCGGGGTGCGAAAGGTCCCTACTGCGAAGCGCCAGCACCCCAAATCAAGACTTTTATATTTTCCGTGGCGGGAAATCGAGCTTTTCCAGGTATCTACAGCCTGTAGAAATTCAACGCTGAGAATTTCCAACTATTGTCCGGCTTTGGTCCTCTGCCACCGACCTATCCTTTGAAGGAGAATGCTGAAACCAGTTGGTTGCTCTTCAGTAGTTCTTTCTCTATCGTAAACATATTTTTGTATGTCGACACATGCCGTGTGCGACGACGTAGACACTTCTCAACACTGGAGTGACTTGAATTTGGCCATGATGACCGAATGTCATTGGACCGTGGAGTCGAGTAGAGGGCTCAGGCTCGATCGCCACAACGGGTACGTCTAGCACAAGGGTAGGGCTAATGATATATCAAGTTGTTTGCTGTGCACAACCTTGGGGCGGAATTCGGCACGAAATTCTCTGCTCGCCAACTGTTGAGTATACCATGCAATACGTAGGTTTAAACTCATGTTGCAGTGCTATCACGGTTGCAACCCTCTTTCAAATGTTGACATAGCCAACAACCACATAATCCATATCAAATCTTGCCCCTTGTTTTCTTTCTAAGTGTGAAAAATAGAAATAATACCAGTCCCAATCATTGGAAAATGCAAATCACGGTCTATTATCGACACATCGTACTGTCGCGGACATGGAAATCCAGTCAATTGACCGGGGCCGGGGCCCTCAGCGCGTACAGAACGTTGCATGCAGTGCACATGTTGATCCAATGCGACCATCAGCAGCGCATGATAAACCGTGCTACGGCTACATGGCCAGCGCCCTGGGGCCGCTATACCGTACGTGCGACCGGATTCCCATGTCCACGACAGTAGTACCATGCAGCCTGGTAGTGCATTTGGAGCAGGAAAGTGAATGGTAGCACTGCGGTGGTGAACACATGAGCTGATGACAACCATCGTCGTCTTGTTGGTTTGTGTTGTCTCCTGTTCATTGCAGGTTGAACGAGGAATGAACGTCTACTCTTTCTTTCCAAAACTGGCTGGGCACACGCCAATGTGAGACGGAAGCTAGTGCCAAACCAGTCCTTGGAAGTT